CCCCAAAACCCCAAAACCCCAAAACCCCAGGTGATCTGGTGAGGTTGAGAAACTATTAATCTGGACCAATTATTAGCTTATAACAATAAAAATGAAGTTTCCAATATGAGAAGCGAGACCTTGCAAGGATAGGTCCCAGTTTTATATAATTGAGCGGAAGTTGTATGTATGCAATACACATAAGGTAGCTAAATATTTCACTGATGATTCTATCCACCTAGTCCCTCAGGATTCGGTCGAATCTCTATTAAAAGTGATAGATCAGTGCAGGAAGGAGTTACTAGTATCTCCGATAACCCAAGGATATCTTGGCTCTGAAGAAGAATACAATGGATTTGACACCACTATAAGAGAGGCAGTAGACCACATCTCTTCTAGCCTAAGGGCTGTTGTTTTAAGCAAACAGTTCTTCAAGCTAGAGGCTTTGTTTATAGAAGCCAAGCAACTTGAAGACTTCATCATGAACCATGAATTGTTCATCAAACACTCGACAGCAAAGAGTTGGAAGGAGGCACTGGGTGTTGTAAATGAAGTTGTTGAAAAGAGCTCTGCTCTTGTCACCAAAGAACTTCATGAAGAGTACGCCAGTCTGTTTAAAAGAACTGCTGATGAGCTCAGGAAACAAAGGACTCGTATCCTTGAAGAAAAGTCAAGGCTAGATATAAAGCTATCTGAAGAGAAAAATAAGGTCAAAGATCTAAAAGAAGAACTTAAAAATCAGGAGAAATCTCTTAAACAAGATATGAAGATGCTAAAGGATCAATATGAAGAAAAGATAGAAGGTCTGATCAACACCCAATCACAGTTAGAACAAACCAAATCAACGCTTATCGATGAAGCTGAACAAAAGGATCAGCAAATATCTGAGCTTAAGGAAGATATCAAGAGTAAATCCGAGGACTTGGAAAGATCTCATGAACGTATCCAGAATTTAGAACAAAAAGTTAAGACTAAAACCGAAAAGGAAAAGGAACTTAAAGAACAAATTGAGAATCTGAAATCCAACTTTGATGAAGAGAAAGAAAAACTCGAAGAGAACTATGAATCTGAGCTACGGCAACACAAAAGGCGTCACGACATTATGATTGAAGAATCTAATGAAAAAAGCGAAAAGAAGCTCCAAGAACAACTAGCCGTTTTTAATAATAAATATAAAGAAAAGGATGACGCAATTCATAAGCTAGAGGAGGAGGCGTCTAAACTCACTGAAGATCTTGATCAACAAAGAACTGAGCACCAGGCACTTATAGCAACTCATACGAATCTTCAAAAGGAGAAACAAAGCATTGTGGAAAAACATTCTGAAGATACTTCTAAACTCCAGCAAAACAATGAAGCCCTTGAAGAAGAGAGTAAGGCAAAAGATATCAACATTATGGAGCTAAAGGAAGAAATTGAAGAACTAACAAGGAAGCTTAAAGATGCATGTGAACACAATGAGTCCATCAAACAAAACCTCGTCTCTCTAATTCAAACTTTCTCCAACCAAGAAGTCACCGACTTTTTAAAAGATTGCGAAGTTTATGATGAATATAGCTCAGCCGAAGAAGAGATACAGTTTGATCAGAAGACTTGACTTTATCTTGATCTCAATAAAGAAAACCATCTGGAGTTCTTAACTAAAATTACCAAAAGAATTCCAGATTGAGAATACATTAGTATTGGTTCCATCCCTGGAGAGAATGAAGTTGTTAAGACTTTCCTCAGCCTTTATTTCCCCAACAAGGTTAAACAGTTTTATTTCAATGAACGTTCAGCTTTAAGTAGTTGTCTATCTTTCTATATGACCGAACTGGAAGCATTGAGTTCGAAGGTTGAGGAAAAATTTGGGATTTGTAATTTTGAGGTCAGCCAGAACCAGATGAAAACACTCTTAGCCAAATACAAACGCAAGAGCTGGTTTGGATTTGTTGACTGCAATCTAGCCTTGTCCTCTGTGCCTGACTTCGGAGGAGCTCTCCAAGGAAGTCAATTGGAAAGATTAGATTTGACTGGATGAGGGGCTAGTGCTCGTGGAGGTTGGAAGAACAACCCGTCCCACTTTGAAAACTTAATCGAGGGTTTGGCCAAGGAACAGGATTTTAAGAACAATTTGAAAATGATTTGGATGGGAGGCTGAGGAATGGAGAAGAGTCAGGTTGAAGAGATTCTGAAGAAATACGAGTTTGGAGAGGTTCAAATTTGGATGTAAAGAGATGAAAACAAGAAATAAGTTTTTAAGATAAAACTTGGGTTCTTTGAAATTAAGTCTTTGTTTAAAATTTATCATAAGTGGGTTATAAAAATCTGGTTATTTCAATTGAAGAATAACACTGTGGGGTTTTGGGGTTTTGGGGTTTTGGGG